CAGCAGCATGTGGGGGAGAGCCCCGCAGCAGCACATGGTGGACACAGCCCCACAGCAGCACATGGGGGACACAGACCTGCAGCAGCACGTGGGGGAAACAACCCTGCAGCAGCACATGGGGGAAAGCCCCGCAGCAGCACGTGGGGGACACAGCCACGCAGCAGCACATGGGGGACACAGCTCCGCCCCAGCACATGGGGGAGAGCCCCGCAGCAGCACATGGGGGACACAGCCCCGCACCATTGTGCAGGTAGTTAGTGTGAGGCAGCAGGAGCAGTTAGTGTGAGGCAGCGAAGCGGTGGCCACGTCCCTGGGGCGACAAAGAGGCCGAGTCCCAGAGCAATCGATAGGCTGAGGGACATTCTCGGTGGCACAGTGTGAGCTGGGAAGCCTGGCGCAGGACTCTGGCAGAGGCATGCAGTAGCAGTCATAAAGAAAAGTTTGGACTCTCTTTAAGTTGTTTTTCTTTCACTACTTTATTCTAAGTTAATGTGAATGGCGCTTAATGCACAGTGACAGTACACACTTTTCACTGTATTTTATATTGAATGCACATGACAATAAAGTATAAAGGATATTGAATTCAATGAAGGGAAGCATGCCATAGGCCTTTTTCACTTCCTTATCTACCTGAGCTGTCACCTTCAGTGATCTGTGGACCTGCACACCCAGATCCCTCTGCATATCAATACTCCTACGGGTTCTGCCATTCTCTGTGTAATTTCCACCTGTACTTGACCTTCCAAATTGCATCACCTCACATTTGCCCAAATTTACCTCCATCTGCCATTTTTCTGCCCATGCCTCCGACTGATCTATATCCTGCCGATCCTCTGATAATCCTCCTCACTATCCTGCAATTTCAGCATGATTCATTACAAACTTGCTTCTAAAATGTAGAAATGTCCTTCCTGCCTTGCTATCATCATTTGACTTGCTCCATGAGGCACACTATTGCCAGGCATGCATCTTACCCCAAGTTCGAATAGTGACAGAGCACTGCAACATTGCACTCAGTGTCAGCAGTGGAGCTGAGATTGAGAGTTGGAGAGCTGTAATAGAAGCACAACTACGAAAAGTAGAACACAGAAATATTCATAGCTACTGAAAGCTGCTAAAAGTCACTGAAAAGGAAAATTAATCAAAGAACCGGGCCACAGCCTGGCTGACTGGGTGAGTCACAAAATGGCTGTAAATTTTCCTCTCTAGCATATAGTCCAAATCAATATGAATCAGGGTTGGCACAATGTCCTTTCAAAATGGCAAATCTACCAAATTGTGGCAGATGTAATTAACAAGTTGGAGCAAATAGAAGTAACTAAACTTCTAATAAAGATCAGAAAAAACTGTTAGAAGTTGTATGTTACACTCTAAAAGATAACTTTAATAAATAGAGATAACACAGTGTGGAGCTAGAGGAACGCAGCAGGCCAGGCAGCATCAGAGGAGCAGGAAAGTTGACGTTTTGAGTCGGGACCTTCTTCAGAAGGGTCACTTCTGAAGGGTCATTTCACTTTTCTGCTCCTCTGACGCTGTCTGACCTGCTGTGTTCCTTCAGCTCCACACTGGGTTATCTCTGACTCCAGCATCACCAGTTCTTACTATCTCTTCAATAAATAGAACTTGAGTCCAAACACTTCTCTGTGAGAGCTTTATCTCAGCAACAGTCTATAATACTGTCACTACATGGACGACTACCCTCCCATATTTATACTGCCAATTCAAACCCAATTAACTCCATTAATACATCCATCACCTGTTCCCTCATTCCATTACGTCTCAGGCATTTCTTCAGACCATATTGAATTCCACTCTCAACCTCTCTGAAGAACAGAAAATAAAACAAATGCAGGAATTTTAAATACCTTGAGGATGCATCTTGAACTTATATTGAATATAACATATAAAATGCATATGTTCAATGTTACAGCTCATTGTGAGAAAGAGTCCATGGATAGATATCATGGAATCACAGAATTGTTACATTGTGAAGGAGACTGCTCGATGCTTCCTGAAACATTATGCACTTCACAGACCCAGATAACATGACATCAGATTGTGAGCAAAAGAGAAACTCTCAAATGTAAAGGTGAGGCTCAATGATACAGAATGATACTTACCTGAGAGCACAAATGAATATAATACAGTGAAAAGTGTTGCTTTAGATGCTTTGCAGGCAAATCATATTATACAAGTGCATCAGGGTAACAGAACAGAGTGCAAATTACAGTGTTACAGCTACTGAGAAGGTGCAGCGAGAGATCAACATTAACGTTAAAGAGGTAATATCAAATATGAGGGCAAAATTACTTATGAATGACATTAGGCTACATCTATTATACAATGTAATGGAGCCAGAATTCCTATAAAGCCACTCTCTAATTAGACATCCTTCATGCAATTCCTTGTTTGTGCATTCTTGCCATGTGAAATTAAGGTTCATCACACTACACACTGACTCTAAGGGCTGAACTAAGTGGGTCTTTAGTTGTTTTGAGTTAGATCTCCAGCACCACCATATGCTTCCTTGAGCTACAAGGTAATCAAATGTCTGGCAGTCTCTTGTCCCGGCAGCGTTGCTGAACGCAGTGGTCGCTACCAAAATTACATTTCCCCATCATTCCCCAGCCATGGTTTAATTTATCTAATCTCTTTTACTCTTCAATCAGGTACAATGTAGTTAAGGCATTCAAATACTAGAAACAAAATGATGCTTGTAAGTATTCACCTGGACTTCCTACTCTCCTGTCATATCTTCAGTGAATCCACCCAGAAAAAGATGCCGTTACATTCTTTTTACCAGTGTCCCTGTGACAGTATTGTACCCTTTAAGAGAAAGGTGTTCTGCCCTGTTTCTCTTAAAGAAGAGTGTTGTCGCAGTGCTACTGGAGTGTCTCCTTCAGGCAAGCAGTTGGTAAACAGCTTGTGAATTCTCCCTGAGTGTTTTTAATCATAAGTGGGCTGGGTCAGGGCTTACACAGACTCAGGAAGGCTTTTAATTCTGCTTTCAGTCAGTTGAAAGCTTCTGTCAGCTGCTGAGAACTGTTAGAGTGAAGTCTTAGACAGCAAGACCCCCTCTTAAAAATCCTAAAGGGTCAGATTGTTTCTACCTTCTGGGCTGGAGAGAGATGGCATGTGAGAATCATAGCTGTTTTGTTGAATTGCATTTTTGCCAAAGGGTGTGTATGTGGGATGCTGTCGAAATTGGTACTGTTGATGATTAGTGGTTAAATAATACATTATCTTGTTAAGTATTTCAATGGAGTTAAAGTTATGCCTTTCTTTTGCATTTTAACTGTTGTAAGAATAAAATGTGTTCGATTAAAGCCGAATGGTGAACCAATCGAAAGATACCTGGAACACAGCACCTTATGCCTGCCTTTAAATAAATATGAATACTCCAGTCTAGGCTATCCCCTTACAATACTTTGGGATGTGGGAGAGGGTTCTAGTCTGGCCCATAACAGTCCCCAATCAGTTTCCACTGAAGTTTGGCATAAGATCACAGAAAATGTTCCCCATAGCTCATTGTCTATTCATTTATATTATGATGTGGTACAAGTTGTGCAGTAGGGACTTCAGTGGAAATACAGATTGGGAGAGCTGTAAAATGCACTGCTGATGCCCTATCAGTTAATTTATGCAAATGCACAAAGTAAAAACAACTCCAGTCAGTGTAAGCCCTGACCCAGCCCACTTATGGTTAAAAACACTCGGGGAGAATTCACAACGAAAGTTCTGAGGGAGGGTCACTGGACCTGAACCGTTAACTCTGTTTCTTTTTCTTCACGGACACTTCCAGACCTGCTGAGCTTTTCCAGCAACTTTGTTTTTGTTCCTGATTTACAGCATCCACAGTTCTTTTGGTTTTTATTCAATATTATGGGTGCTTTGAACTACTAGAGATTTTTATATATTTCAGTGTCAAACTATTTTGTTCATTCAAGCAAGTGAGCTCCAATGCCAGGACATTCACCCTCAATATGCAAACCCTGTGCGATATGGGTTTTGCCTCCAATTGCCTATTGTTACCTGGTGTAATGATGCTTACATTATCGTTCGCAACTCGGTGTGCATATCTTTGTATTGAAGAATTCAACAGAAGTTTATTATGGCATACTTCTATTAGCATGTCATGCTTCAAGTGAGCAAGTGATGATTCAAGTTGAGTTGGAGTTCGTGATCTTTATATCCCTAGCTCATATCTTATTATGAATGATGTTGTTTTGAGAATGTCTCCTGATGGTATGCTAACTCAGTTCTGAGGAAGTGTCACCGGACCCGAAACGTTAACTCTGTTTTCTCCTCCACAGATGCTGCCAGACCTGCTGAGCTTTTTGTGTCTCTTAGATACTGGCTGTGAGACAATGTGGACACTGGAACTAATGATGGGTCAACAACATAAACAGTAGAAATCACAACTCCTGCTCTCTTCAAATGCCTCTACTCTTATTGCCTCTATTACATAAGAATAATCATTGACTTAGGATATTGTGTGGCTCCCAAACAGAAACCATTACTTATGCAAATGGAATCAATAGGAATACTGTTTCCACCTTGATTGAAGAAGCTCTGTACCTTGTTATTTTGGATAATGTACAGGCATGAAAGAATTATTGGGTGGTTCTGCAATCATATAGTTGAAGGCAACAAAAACACTGTAACCCCATAGCCCTGTTTCTTTAAATTGCTCTCCAATCAAACATGGCGCCCTTCTCACTTATCACATGAAGGAATGCTTACATGAGTGCTCTCTGAGCACTTTGTGCATTCATTCTTATTAGATACATTTCAAAGCCTTCCTCTTTCTTATGCAGTCCTTCTGACACTGTGAAGTAGACACCGATTGTAAGAGAATTTATTCATTCGTGGGATGAGGGCGTCGCTGGCTAGGCAGCATTTATTGCCCATCCCTAATTGCCCATAGGGCTGTAAAGAGCCAACCACATTGCTGTGGGTCTGGAGTCACATGTAGGCCAGGCCAGGTAAGGATGGCAGTTTCTTTCCCTAAAGGGCATTAGTGAACCAGATGGGTTTTTCTGACAATCGATTCACGGACATCATTAGATTCTTAATTCCAGATATTTATTGAATTCAAACTCCGTCATCTGCCATGGTGGGATTCGAAACCAGGTCTCTGGATTAACAGTCCAGCAATAATACCACCAGCCATGGCCTCCAACAACATGTGATATCATACAACTTCATGGGAATGACTCCTGCAAAGACTCACCAGTAATATTAACCTTTTAAAAGAGCTGTGAGAGATTCATGGGCACACTGCTTACAGTTTTCTTCAAAATGTTAGATTTCTGAGAAGACGATTAAGCAAATTCACTTTAACAAAGAATGTCACTGCCCAACAGTGCAAAGCAATAAGACCGATGAGGGACCATCCCCTGAAAGGACTTGATTGTAGAATCAAACAGCACAGAGGAAAGCCATTTAGCACACCATACCTGTAAGAACTCTCTGAAAGAGCTATCCAATTGGACGCTCTACCTTTTCCTTACCCCTAACTTTGCGAATTCTTCTTTTTCAAGTAAATGTTTAGTGTTATTTTGAAAGCCAATCTGTTTCTATTCCTCCTTCAGGGAGGAATAGAATTCCAAATTCTATATAATTCGAATATAATTCCAAATTATATCATAAAACAATTTCATTCCCATCTCCTCTCTTGGAGACTTTCACCAATCACTTTCAATATGTGCCTTCTTTTACCAATAGTGACCTGCTTGTGAAAACTTTACCCATATCTATTCTATGAAAACCCAGTTTAATTTTGAATACTCTTACAATCTTTTCAAACTTGATCTGTTCCGCCAAGAGCTATCCTAACATTTACCATCTCTGGTCTCTGTACTGAACTGAAGCTTTCTATCCGTTCAGTCAATCTGTGAACCCTCTCAAAGGCCCAAACAGCTTTCTGAAATGTGAAGCCCAGCGTTGGAGAACAATGCACCAGGAGAGACCACACCAAAGGCTTTTCTTAATTGATGAAAATTTCTGCAAGGGGGTGGTAAACAAAAAGGTGTTGGGCTGTTATTTTTTGCTGGTTTTTAAACTGCAAAAGGAAAGTTGCATCTGCGCTGCACGCTGATGTAAAATTGATTATTTACTTTTCAAGCTCCAGCGTTCAGCAGCAAGGCTGTTGAGGGAGAACTGATTTTTCAGTTTGTCTAAACTAAAAAATGAGGTCAGTGATGAGACCTCAGTAATGTTAAGAGCTGTTTATTTACATGTTGTATGACAGATGATAGATAGTTATTATATGCAAAATGAAGCAGTATTGCAGAGATAGCTAACAGTCTGGTCACAGCTGCCATACTGATATCTACTGCATGGACTGAATCTGTCAGACAGAATTAATATAATTAGTTTTCAAAGCTCACTCAACTTTGACCAGCTGCTTACTTGTGATGTCTTTACCCATTTACACACTTTTACGATTCGAAAACAGTGGCAAATATTTCTGCATACGCAGTCCAGGAGTGGATGGAGTCTTATAAAACTAGGACCCTCATAAATATGCATTAAAACATATACATCGACTGTCAAATCAACTGCACTTTGTCACTGGTAACAACGCACCTGACAAATAACATTTGAAAAAATAGTCACTTCATATTTGCAACATGACAAATTCCTGTTTAAATCAATCATTGCAGTTGTGAATTTGTACTGATAGTGATTGTAACGACGTCAGCCAGGTGAAAGTCATAAAATATGAGTTCCCTGATTGGGGCTGTTAATCTGGTCCAATCAGGGAGCCCTGGCTGACATATATAAACAGGAGGGTCAGCGGTTCTGTTCACTCTGAAAGCTGACTCTGAGGGAGCAGGATCAGTGTCAAGGACTCTCCACATGTAAATAAAGGGTTACTTAGTGATGGCTTCTGTGGAGTTATTTCAGTACTACCTGTAACTATTTATCTTTGGCACCAGTTACACATTTGGTTTGTGTAGACCTTGTGGGGCACAGTTAAAATGAGGGCAATCTTTATATTGGGATTTACTCCCTGATTTCGTTTGGAGGTTGGAGCAGGAAAGCAGTGCTTTCTCGATTTGGCCAAACCTGCCAAGAGCTGAAAGGTGGGCCACAAGAGGTCAGGCAGGGAGGTTGTAAAAAGCTTATTCGAGATGTCTTTGTAGATAAAAGTGTGGACCTCAATGCTTATTCTCCCTTTGACCCTGACTGGTGAATATTTGAGATGGAATTATATAATGTTTGAAGCACAGATATAGGTGAGTTGATCTGACTTATTTATTGTCACATGTGCCTAAGTACAGTGAAAACCTTTGTTTGTGAGCAGTACAGGAAGATCATTGTAAGCAAGGACAGACAGCTCATAGGGTGAAAAAAACTTGGACAGAGCAAGGCATACAGATCACACTACACTGGATATGTGCTAGACACAAACAACATTAACGAGATCAGCATTATTTGAAATTAGAGAGTCCATTCATCAGTCTGATAACAGCAGGGAAGAAGCTGTTCCTGAACCAGTTGGTGTGTGTGTTTTCAAGCTTCTGTATCTCCTGCCTGACAGAAAAGGTTGTAGGAGATCATTACCAGGGTGGGAGGGGTTTTTTTAAAGTTTTCTCTTTGCAGCTAAAGACATGAACTTCTCATGCTGTTCCTTTCTTCCTTATCTTTTTATCCAGCTTTCCCTTACAGTAATATGGCAATATGCCTTTATGGTGTTCACCTCAACCACTCTCAGTGAAAAAGTTTCTGCGAATTCCAGATTGGATTTTGTATGCACAGAACAAGCTGAAAGACATTTACTGCCAAAGTATTTCACAAATAATGCAACAGGAAGGGAATGAGGTGAAGCTGATAAATGGTTTCAGAAATGCAGCAGCTGGGGATAACTAAAGATAGAGGGTTTGATTGACACAGTGCTGCAGCAGAATCACACAGGAAGTCCAGCAAAGCCCATCTCGATGTCAGGACCAAACTCACTCAGTTAATGAACAAGGTGGAGACTCAATTTCATCCAGGCTAAAGTGGCAGTGCACGAAGGGAGAATTCCAGTGCTGAAAATTCTACTTTCATATAAGATCTGCTCAGATAGATTCACAAGCTGTGATAACATTACACGGAGGACAGCATAAAATATTCCTAATGAAATGGCTCTTCAATTAACACAAATAAAATCAGATTATATGGTTATTGACTCTCACACTTTTCATGAAACATCGATAAGTACTAATGGTCAGACGTGAACAGGCTCAAGGAGCTGAATGGACTGTTTACATGATGCTACATTCTACTCCATAATGACAGTGGCTTCACTTTAATGAGCTATTCCCAGATTATAAATTGTATTGAATCATAGTCAAGATACAATAAAGCACAGTATGAATAGACCTTGGGCTTAATTTTATCAAAATTTGTCAAAGTGTTAATTTTGCAGCGTTCCAAGGAAGGTTTCTCTCTGTGAGCTCTACTCAGATATCTTACACAATTCTCCATTCTCACCTCTCATAAATGTGTCAGGCCTCAATGGTGCAACTCTCACACAATCATGTGTTCACTTGCTGCATCTGGAACCTTCTGGAATTGCATTCCAGAATTCCAGATTTAAAGGCCAGCTATAACTCCTCACTGTACATGCGGTGGGAAAATAAAAGCTTCTGAGACCACATGTGTGGCATGGGTAATTGTTCATGAAAATATCATCTCACATTGATAAATGTGCTGGTTATTTTACATCCCCAACTGTCTGACTGAGTGCCATTGTAGCTGTAGCTATAGCTACAAGAATCAAGTGACAGAGAATACCCTTCCTTGGCATCATCCTATATGTGAACCATGTCCCAGGGTATCATGACATCCTGTCATTGTTCGGGACTGACCATAGCTCACTTCCCTGAGTGAGTTGGAAGGGCAACCCCAACTGAGGAGTGACCACTTGACTGATCCCTGTGATCTCCATGACAACTGATTGAGAGACCTGCCAGACTGACCATGGCCCACTTTCTGGATTGTGATGAGGCTTAATTGCTGACCCTGACCACCCCAAGTGACTGACTGATCATGTCCAAAGCCCTGGACTGATTTCAGACAATGGCCTTAACTGAAACAGAAATTGCTGGAGAAACACAGCAGGTCTGACAGCATCTGTGAAGAGAAAACAGAGTTAATGTTTCAAGTCCAGTGACCCTTTTTCAGAATTGATAGCGTCTAGGTAAAAAGGGACATTTATCTCAAATAACAGGGGGTGCGGGGAAAGGAATGAGTGGATAGGTGGTGACAGAGCCGAAAGAGAGAGAGAGGGGGTATGCAGATAAAGATATTGTTGATAGTAAGCGAGTGAAAAAGAAAAGCCGGATTGGTGATAATGCAGTCTATGAACGAGTAAGAATGGGTTGGCTGTGCTGAAAGCAACTCATGTGATGACAGGGCCTGGCATGTGGGGGTGGATAAAGGACATGGAGGAAGGTGTTAAGGCCTGAAAATTATTGAACTGAACATTGAGTCCCGAATGCCCTTTGACTGGCGGTGCTGTAAACCCTGACTGACGACCCTTATACTTGACTGAGAACTACCCTCTGGACTTTGAGACCTAGCCATTTAGTTGGAGCATATTTAATGAGCTTGTCACACCAGCTGCTGGAACATGTGTGTCATTACAAACCACAGAGCTGTACAGCAACATATCCACCCTCTTGACAGATCATTGGTAGCAACCATGACAAACTA